TGTGTGTGTGTGTGTGTGTGTGTGTGTGTGTGTGTGGAATAATCATATCCAAGGACCAGTGGGGGGTTTCAAAGAATTTTGGAACCTCTTCTGTAGGTGTGGCCTGCTTTCCGGGTCTACTGGTGGAACCTCTTCTAACCGGTTCGGTAGATTTGACGAACCGGTTCTACCGAATAGGTGCGAACTGGTAGGAAGCCACCTCTGTAGCAGATATATATTTTATAAGCATTTATATTTAAGGGACCCGTATCCTTTAATGATCTAATATTTGTTTTAAACATGGCTTTTTGATGTCACATTGCAATTAAAATTCTGAATTTAATAGAAATTAAAGAAGCTCACCGAAGGAAGAAGATAATGAAAGAACGCTTCAAACAAGAGGAGAACATTGCTAGTGCTATGGTGATTTGGGTCAATGAAATTCTGCCTAATTGGGAGAGCATGTAAGTCTAGAATATTTGGTCATACAAGATTGATGCAAACTTCTGTGTGTTTCCCTTTCTGTTCTCCGCTGTACTTTTAATTCATCACATCATAGAATTACTTTCTCTTGTATCTGCTATTCTATTTTTTTTTTAAATTCAGAAATCACATATTAAGAGAGCAGTCTTATAAGATCAGGCAATATTACATTTGCAAGAAGAACTACTAGTAAATTCCAACAGAAGATCTCCGGCTTCTCATATGAAGCTAAAGTTTACTGCTGTATTTGATGCTAGGATATTTCTAGCAATGCCCAAACGATTATATTTACCCTATTTTTACTTCTCTGTCTTTATAGGCGTTCTACAAGGCGAGTGCGAGAATTATGGTGGCAAGGATTACCTCCAAGCGTTCGTGGAAGGGTTTGGAGTCTTGCTGTAGGAAACGAATTGAATATCACTCCTGGTATGTTTCAAGTATATAATATAAAGACCCAGTTAGGGTTGTTAAACATGTCTCACCTAGACGTATATGGATATTAGTGGTAATAAAAGCGGTTCACCCACAAAAGGGCGAACGACAAAACCGCGCCCGACTAAACCGCGTCGCTGACGTCATCAACAGGGTGACAACAGCGCGGAGACAGAAGTGCGCTGTAAAAGTAACCCTAATCCTAAACCTAATCCTTAACCTAACCCTAAAACTAACCCTTAACCTAACCCTAAAGCTAACCCTAAAGCTAACCCTAAANGAGGGGGGAGAGAGAAAGAGTGAGAAAGAGAAAGAGAGAAAGAAAGAGAGAGAGAAAGGGAGAGAGAGATAGAGGGAGGGAAGGAGGGGGGAGAGAGAAAGAGTGAGAAAGAGAAAGAGAGAAAGAAAGAGAGAGAGAAAGGGAGAAAGAGAGAGAGAGAGAAAAAGACAGAGAGAGAGAAAGGGAGAGAGAGGGGGGGAGGGAGGAAAGGAGGGGGGAGAGAGAAAGAGTGAGAAAGAGAGAGAAAGAGAGAGAAAGAGTGAGAAAGAGAAAGAAAGAGAGAGAAAGAGAGAGAGAGATGTCCAAAAGTTCCCGGGTATTTCTACAGGTAGGTGGGATTTTCCTTTTGCTAACTCGTTTGCGCTCTTTCTCTCTCCCCCCCTCCTCTCCCCCCCCAACCCTTCTCTCCTGGTTGCAACGCCGGGACGCCTTGACAGAGTCCACCGGGGGTAAGCATAGTTTCGATTCGTTTTGATCCGGAATCCCTCCCCAGGTTTCATTTTAGAACTCTTGGAAAGGGGGGGTGGGAGCTTCGTTGGAAAGAGCCCAACTTTGGGGTGGTTCTTTGTAGAATGGAGCCGGGCGGGGGGGGGGGTTATAAGAGATCTTGCCCTGGGTTTTTGTTCCCTTTTTGCTGGGGGGGGGGGGCTGCGCGGAGGCCTCTTGAAACTACAGCTTCCCCCTCCTCAGCATTGGAAACTTATGAGTTTCGGATAGAAATAGCTGCCTTGTTGAACTGGCTTCTTTTTAGGGGCATTTCCCAGGCTGATAGGCCGAATTGGGGCCATCCTAATTATTTCCCCCAAGAAGCAGAGGGGCTTTCAAGCCTTCCGAGGTAGTGGAACACCCCCCCTCCCCAAATGCCTAGCTCTCCTTCCGGAACCACAGAACGAACTAAGGAGAGATCTGGCTTACCTTGAATGGCCCCCTCCTGGCTTCAAGCCCCCCAAGTCCTTCCTGGAAGCCTCTTCTGGGTCTTCTGCGCTTTCTGCTGGAGGCTTGGAAGAACCCCCCCTCCCCTCCCCAGCATGGGTTCGCGGACTGGGCCTGGCGCGAGGTTCTCCCCAGAGCTTCTCCCTTGACCTCCTGTTCTCCTCGGCTTCCCTTCCAGGATGAAAGACGTGAACAAAAAGAACCACCTTTTTGCCCAGTTTCGGAAGAACGACCGCGACAAACAGAAGCTGATCGAGACGGTGGTGCGGCAGCTGCGGGGCTTGGCTAACTGCATCGNAAGAATTCCAAGTCCAATGGGTCTTGCTTCTCTGTAACTCTAAAATGGAATATTATCATACTCCCCCCAAAAATTAAAATTAAGCACTGTGTGACATGTACTTATAAAGTTTGGTATCTATTTTATTTGCAAAAATGGCAAATAGCTTGTACTAATTATTTAACCTATGCAACTTTGTATTCATTGTAGTTTTTAACTAACATTTCTTCTCCCATACCATGGTACTACAGGTAATTGTCTTAATTATATTCTTCCTTATCTTGAAGCCTTCATCCATGACTACTACTATAGAGGATGGGCAAAAGATGGGACAGGGCTCAGAAGGTACCCATGGGGAGAGTATGTGATGCCGTGTATCACCGAGTTGGGTGTGTCGTGGTTATATTTCTATGCGTGTATGAATGTGGTTGATTCTTTTATTGGGGACACTCCATTAATGGGACCTTCAGGTTTAACTTCCCATTTGACCCCAGGGTTGCTTGGGAGTTTAAGTTAGTCATGTTCTCCCAAACCAACTTATCTCAGTGGGTCATAATGGGCATAAAAAGCTTCCCTTCTCCCCACATAAACTGTCTTAAGCTTCTAGGAAAAGACAACATACAAAAGGAAAAAGGGGGGAAAAACGTTGAGTCACGGGAGGTAAAGCAACCCGCTCACCAAAGTGTTCCTTTTCTAAAATACCTCAACCGCTGAAAGTGATGTAGTGTTAAGCATTTTGCCTCCTCTGTTTCCTCGAAATATCTTGTTGATATATGGATCTAAACATAACAAGTGATTCAGTGGTGGGTTGCCAATTTTGTTACTACCGGTTCAGGCCCACTCCCACATGCGCACCACACTTCTGTGCATGCACAGAAGCGTCCGGGCAGCTGGGTGGCGCTCCTGCCACTGCTACTACCAGTTTGCCCGATCCAGGCCAAACTGGCAGCAACCCACCTCTGAAGTGATCTGGGAGCAAACAAACTTTTATGAAGGATGGTGGAATAAGACAAAATGGTCTTGGCCTGAGTAACAGTTCCTCAGGCCAGGGGGAACTTGTTTTTAAAGAAGGCCTCATCAAAATGCTTTCTTATCAATAATGACTGTGTCAGAGAAGGTAATTGCAACATTAAATAACCATAATGCCCTTGGACTGCGGAACATCTGGACCCTAGGGACAATTTCAAAATGATGCATGTCTTTGCAGATCAACATTAACATTGGCGTCTTCCTGGATGGTTGGTCTTTGCAGCTATGCTAGTTTTACAGATTTGGAAGGATTTGATTTGATCCCTCCCTCGTCACCTCAGACTCAAAATGGTTGTTTTCTGACCATAAAACGGCATTGGGGGGTGGCAACCAAAGCTCCCGTTTTCAGTAATTTGCAGGGTTGAGAACACCTTGAAACTTGGATCCTTGCGCACACACACACACACACACACACACNGAGAGAAAGGGAGAAAGAGAGGAAAAAAAGAGAGAAAGGGAGAGAGAAAGGGAGAAAGAGAGAGAAAAAAGAGAGAGAGAAAGGGAGAAAGAGAGAGAAAGAGAAAAGAGAGAGAGAGAAAAGCCGGAGCATCTTTTCCTCTCCAGCGAAAATGCAAGCCCTCCTCCCCACTTTGGTTTTCTTCCGCGGGATTTAGGGACGGGGTGGAGCAGCTGCGCGGAGGGTCAGTATGCTCCAAGCCGGGGGGAATGCGGCTTCGGGCACTCAAGTGGAGGTTGATGGCGCAGAAGTCCAGGCGCGCTTCGGGCATCCTTTTTGGAGGGGAGAGAGAATCGGGGGGTCTTTTGCGAGGGAGCCAAAGCGCCCTCTCCCCCTTCCTCTTTCGGGTATAACGTGGAGAGGTTTAGGAGACCCTTGTCTGGTGCGAATTGTGATTTGCTTGGGGGGGGGGGAGAGAGAAGAGGGGGGGGTTCAGGTCAAGCCAGCAACTTTCCCATTCAAAGGTGATTATATACCCGTGTCAAGTTGATGTTGCCTGCTTGTTCTCTCCGGTTGACGTGGGAGCGGGCACCGAGTTGCGAACTTGGCTTCTCGTGACGCCCTTTGGCGCTTCGGAGTGGCGCAAGTTCTTCGCCCGGACCGACTTGTTGGCAGGCAGGCGGAGTGAAGGTTTTGACGCCTCGGAGGTATGCCAAGCCAGGCCTGTGGCATCCAGGGTGAAGAGCGAGAGAAGCCCGCGTCTGGAGAGATTCTCAGTCCTCCAAGTCATGGTTGCCAAAAAGTCCTTTTTTTTTAATTTTCAAGAGGCAACTGGACTTCGTTTTTCCTTGAAGACTTTTCGCCCCTCATCCAAGAAGCTTCTTCAGCTCTGAGCGAAACGAGAAAGCCCAGTTGCCTCTTCGTGGGGGGGGGGGGGGCATGTGCGAGTTGCAGTCGACCCCCAACTCTGGAAGGCCCCCGGTTGGCCAGTACGAAGCGAATTCCAGCCGATCCCCTCCGCCTTTCTTGCGGGTAACCGGGTAACCGGGAAGAGAGCGCCGGCTTATCGTCGGATTCCTGAAAGGACTCTTATCTCCGAAAATAAACCTCCAGAGGTCCCCAAACTTGGCAACTTTAAGACTTGTGGACTTCAACTCTGGGAATTCTGGGAGTTGAAGTCCACAAGTCTTAAAGTTGCCAAGTTTGGGGACCTCTGCTTTAGGCTGTCCCCCGTGCATCCTTGAAACACCCCAGTCGACCGACACTCAGCTGCGCGAGAAGCCAGTAGCTATAAGTGGTGCCCAATTCTTGATCTTGATCGGAGCAACTTGGTTCGCCTGGATTTGCCTGGCGCGGGCAACTGCCGGCCTGGGACGGATCGAGGGAGGAAGCCCACCCCCGCTTTGTCATTTCAATCTGCCTCATCGACATAGGTGGGTTCACATACCTCTTGGCCACCGGTCCCACCGTGTGACTCATCGGAAAGAGAATCCAGACAGTTCCTGCGAACTTAAAAACCTCCATTGGCCCCAGATTTCCTGTGGTCCACCCCGTTTGATCAGCTTAAAATATCGGGGCGTTTTCGTAACTAGTGGTTTACAACCCTCTTCTACCCTGCCTGCCCCGCGGAGTTGTAAAGCTAATCTGGAGATGGTTATTTCGATGGGTGGGCGACACCCTAAATGATTAAATCACTCGCTGTGAGGAGGAATCCGCCTTGGTCTTGATTCCTTCTGAGAAAGAATCTCCCTTTGGAGCCTTCCCGCGTACCAGGGTGGAGTATCGTGAAAGAGGGCATGATCCACACGACTCCTAAATTCTGCCTTGCAGCGCTGCCTTAGATTGGAAAACGGGCCACGCTTAAAAGGGCCTCCTTTCCCCAATCTCCGTTCCTGAGCCGACTGGTGGGAATGGCACCCCAACATCTCTTGAGTGGGCTTTGGTGGTGGTGGTGGAGGGGTGGGGGGCTCCCTTAACACTTCCCTTTGAATTTAGCTGGAAGTCAAGCCCACTAAAGAAATCGGTGGAATTCAGCTCTCAAGAAGAGATTCGGGGCTTCCATTTTTTATAGCCTGGCCCCCTCGCAGTTGGGGTGGGCAGCCTCAAATTAAAACAATTCATTTTTTGAAATATACTTTTTTTATTTTCCACTTTCATATAATCACATGTATACTATTACATAGCCAATATCCTATTGTATTAAGTGGTAATTAAATCAGTTCCTCTTGCCACCAACGCCCAGAAAGATAAAAACCCATTATTAGCTCTTCTGCTCTCCATACACCTCTTTCTTCTGCCTCTCTCCTACCTCCTTTCTTCCCTCCATCATCCTTTTCTACTCCCCCTTCCTTTCTCCTTCTCCCCTCTCTTCATTCCACTCCTCCTTATCCTCCTCCTCTCCCCCCCTTACCCACTC